GCTCCCGTTCGTTCGATTACGGTCTTTTCCGTCATCGCTTGGCGGTTGACAATTCCTGCGGAAGGGATTGTCGATCGGCGATGTTCGGTCGCGTTCGGTCGGAGCGGCGGATAGCGCGACGCGCAGATCGTTCGGCGATCTTCGGACGCGTTCGGTCGGAGCGGCGATAGCTACTGTCGCCGAAACTTTGCCACAATGCAACGGATGAATAATATGCGATGATAACTATATACAATGATAACACTAACTTATGCGCGATACGAATTACAATATACAAGACAAAAAGTAGCTACCGGGAACGATGCAGTCCGAGGTGCATCGTTACATGTGTATGCAGTAATTGCTCGATCAGGCACTGACACAATCTCTTTATGGCGTCGTTCTCTTGCTTCCTCCCTGCGCTTAGCATCTTCACGTAAAGAAGCAGACCACTCACCCAGTTCCTTCTGAACTCTGGTCTTCCTTACTTTCTTCTTTTCACATTTTTTATCAGATTCATTTTCTACGTCACTGTTTTGAGAACTAGTTGATGCTGATCGCTTTTTCAAATTAGAAGCCAGAGCCACAGGTGCGACAAGGTTTATCTCCTAACACTTCCTCCAATTCATTAAAAAACTTACATGTCGCTGGGCTATTACCTGATTGATTGTTATGATCTTTTACCTCGACATACTTTTTGCGCAATTCTTTAAATTTGTTTTCGCATTGTATGCCAGTGTACATCCATTGGATGTTCTCGTTTTGAAGAATAATGGCAATTTTTTTTTCCATACATCGGAGGACTTGATTTTTCCACTTTTGAAATCATTTTTATGTTCATTCCAAACATAAATTAATCGTCTTGTAGCATTCTTATTCTTCCAAGATGCTGTAACATTGAATAAATAGATATAGGATATATTAATCATGGTAAATACTTAATAATTGTAGCATTATTAAAAGCACATTATTAAAGGAACAAAATGTGATGAAAACTTATACCATGTTGTGTTGATAACTGAGTGTTCATAAATGCATCATTGGAATCAAGGTTTTCGCTTTCGGGTTTGTCATGATCCAAAATTATTTGTTGTAACTGAAAGAACGTTAAAGACTATTCCAAAATAGGTACTGATATTATGTTTTTATCTACAAAAAGATACATTTGTAAATATTTCTAACCTAACATATGTTTCACTTTAAAAGGTGCAAGTAAACCACAAATTTATTTACTTACCTATCATGTCAAGTACTAATAAACATCCCTGAGAATCGTATATCGGTTGATTATTTTGATCAGTACATAATTTATGTCTATCCTTCACTAAATTTATGTATTCCATTATCACAGCTTAAACAATCCCGCCAAACGCAAAATTTACCCGCATTCACCTTAAAATTTCAGGGTGGAAATTTTCCTCCTAAAGTGTCACCTAGCAGAGTTTCCGAACGGTTTTGTCTTTGTCATCTTGATACAACCCAAATGTTTCCGACATGTAACAGCGTGAACTCACCCGAATACACCCGATTGCAGTTTCCGAACGCAGCCTCACTCTGCCCATGGGCCAGCACAGTGGTGGTGTATTGTCCTCTCGAATGAGCACCATGTCTCCAGATTTAAGGTTCATCCCCTTAGTTTTCCATTTCGTACACTGTTGCATTTGGTTGAGGTAATCTTTAGACCATCGATTCCATAGATGCTGCCGCATCTGTTCTACTCGCTGCCATTTGGACAGTCTATTTTCTTAGATCTCATTGTCAGTTAAAGTTGGTTCTGGTAAACCAGTAAGCGTGTCTCCAATCAGGAAGTGCCCAGGAGATAGATAGGATAAGTCATTGGGATCGTTTGAGAGAGTTGTTATAGGGTGAGAATTTAAGATTGCCTCTATTTGTATTGAGAGCGTTTGTATTTCGTCTATTATCAATAGAGCAGTACCAACCACTCTTTTGAAATGTGCCTTGAATGACTTTACGGATGCTTCCCATATTCTTCCAAAATTGAAAGTTCTAGGTAGTATAAAATGCCATTGGATGCTGTCAGAAGTTGATTCTTGAATTATTTTTTGCTCTTCTTTTAAAAACATGACATGTAATTCACTTAGCTCTCGTTCTACTTCCGTGAAATTGGTCGCGTTATCCGGAAATATGTGACTCGGTTTGCCTCTGCGCCCAATGAAGCGTATAGCTTCGGCTGATAAATCAAATGCTATTTCAACATGAATGGCCCTGGTTGCCAAGACACACAAAGATTGCGGTGTAAGATTTCACCGTACTTGCATTTCGTTGCTTGGCCTCACGTAGTTAAAATGGACCACAAAAATCAACTCCAACGTTTGCAAAAACTCGTGTAACTTGAACTCTTTGCCTTAGTAAATTGTCCATGAAGGGCTGAATCACTGGAGGATTTACTCTGAAATATGCTATACAATTTCTAATGATATGACGAACCGTCTATTTCTGCCGTTCAACGGCCAGAATTTTTGACGTATGGATGCCAACGTCATTTGTGCTCCCGCATGAAGAAGCTTGGAATGTTCATGCTTTATTAGCAATTTGATGAATGGATGTTTGAATGGTAACACTATCTGATGTTTTGCTGAATAGGGCAAGTCAGTATGCTGGAGCCTACCGCCCACGCGAATGATCCCATGTTCATTTAAGAAAGGGTTTAAAGACAAGAGTTTGCTTATTTTAAGAAGCGGTTCTTGATTTCACAAGCATTTAAGTTCGGTAGCGAATGCATGTGATTGATCCATCTTACAATTAGACAATGACTGTATGGCAGAGTCAAGTTCTTTAACGGATAGATTTCCTTTGTATCTGAATTCTGTCATACGACAATTATGAATGAAACGTAGAATGTATCCACATATTCTGATTTGTTTATTAAATGTCGAATATCTGTCGAATAGTTTCAAGTTTTGCTGGACGATCGCAGCAGCCACTGTTCTCCTTTGCTCTGGCGCCTCTGAAATGACCGAAGAATTCTCGACATTCCATGTATTTGCGTCTTGTTAAAGCCACGTGGGGCTATACCACCACAGTTTGAAATTGATTAATGATGAAGGTGGCATGCCTCTAGAGAGAATGTCTGCTGGATTCTAAGCAGATTTTACGTGGTACCAATTGTTGGGATCAGAAAGTTCTTGAATTGTACTGACGCGATTCGCCACGAATGTGATCCATCTTCTAGAAGATGATTTGATCCAGGAAAGGGTTATAGTCGAATCGGACCAATAAAGAGTTCGTGTGAACTTGATATCGGAAATCTCTAACACTTTGTGCATGAGTTGAGCTAACAATAATGCAGCACATAGCTCCAAACGTGGTAAGGTGAGATTTTTCAATGGCGCTACTCTTGACCTTGCACACAATAAACTTGTCTGATAAGTATCTTCTGTCAATTTACTACGAACATACACAGGCTCCAAGCTAAGCTTTTTCACTGGCGTCTGAGAATTCACATAATCCTATGACCTCGGCATGATGAATGACCTTTCGTGGTATCTGGAGATCATTAAGTGCATAAAGTTCTGCTTCATAACGAGACCATTGAGTCTGTATGTCAATGGGAACTGTTTCGTCCCAGTGTGTTTTCAGTTGCCACAATTTTTGCATAAGTATCCTTGCTGTAATGGTGATCGGACTTAGAAAGCCTAGTGGATCAAAAATGCGGGTAAATATCTAGAAAAGGGGAGCCCCCTCGATGATCTTGACCTTGACATATGTTGTCAAAGTCATGACCCTGAGTAACCTCCCGCAGGTTTTAGGTGGCGGTCGCTGTCCGTTAAAAAGTTATTAACAAATAAAGTTTCAAAATTAACGTATCATTTCTGGGAAATTATACACATTGTTGCGCCCGTATCCTCTCGACACCCGATTAGCGCTGGAATTCGTCGTCCTTGCAGGAAGAAGATCGCGTTGCCGAGCAATGCGATCGTGGTTGTTTAACGAGATTGGTATGAGAGCTGTCGTCGCGCTCGGACGTGGCTTCTCATCGCGCTTTTATAAACACTTCGCTACATTGTGTTCGTTGTCGTTCTGTGTTCACTGAATAAAACCTTCTTGTTCCTCCTACATCACGAGTTCTCCTTATTTCCTCGCGAACGCGCGCGAGCATTACGTCGAACGCAGACGTCGGAGGCGTAACATTTTGGGGGCTCGTCCGACGCTTGGATCGACGTGGACGGTTAACGAGTCGAGTGAGAAAGTGCAACGATGTCATACGCATTGCGACCAACGCTGCGCAAGAGGAGGCTCATCGATCCTGGGGAGATTTCGGTCGCGCCGGAGACAGGAGCCACAGAATCTTCGTCGACGGCGGCGATGTTGAGATCGGTGTTGCGAGAAGTGCAGCAGCTTCGCACTGAACAGCGGGAGAGACAGGAGGAATACGCCGCGACGCTGCGTCAACGGGATGCGGAGATCGGAGAGCTGCGAACATGTTATGCTTTCGACTGCAGTTGTTCACGTCTGTGATGACGAAAGTACGCTCAGGCCGTGCCGAGCACTTCTGGACTGCGGATCGCAGGCGAATTTCATATCTAAGAAATTTGTAGAACTTCTCGGTTTAAAGACACGTCCGTTAAATGTCTCGATCTCCGGCGTCAATGGTACGGTAGCTATATCTCATTACGTCGCGACGATCAAATTGCAATCGCGAGTCAGTTCCTACGCCGCGGTCATTGAATGCATCGTGTCTGATCAGGTCACTGACAAAATTTTCCGGTCTCTACAGAACGAGGCATATTTGATTTTCCACGGAACATTCGTTTAGCCGATCCACGATTTCATATATCGTCGGATATTGATCTCTTAATCGGAGGTGAGATATTCTGGGATTTGATCTGCGTCGGTCAAATAAGGTCGTCAGACAAACATCCTACTCTTCAAAAAACACGATTGGGTTGGATTCTATCGGGTCGTTAGACACTACCGCAGCAGTCCCTGCGAAGGTCCACTCATTTCACGCGTCTATAACCAACTCTGAATTACACGATCATGTCAACCGCGCGTGGCAAATGGATAACATATCCATTCCCTCGAACAATTACACAATTGAAGAAAATATCTGTGAACGTCATTTTTTGGACAACACGTCCCAAGACTCTCAAGGCAGATATATAGTCAAGCTCCCGGTCAAGGAGCAGATGCTAGAGAAAATCGGTGATTCTCGTGAAACAGCTCTCAAACGTTTACGGGAGATTGAAAAGCGGTTCAAGCGCAACCCCGCACTCAAAATTCGATACACGAAATTTATCAAAGAATATAAATCGTTGGGGCACATACGACGGTTAGAACCACCCATTGCAGAAGAGCCGACATCGTTTTATCTCCCTCATCATTGTGTATTCAAAGCAGTCGGACAAACGTCCAAGATCCGAGTCGTTTTCGATGCTTCTTGTCGTAGCAGTTCCGGCGTGTCCTTGAATGACGCACTTCTAGTGGGCCCAAACGTTCAGCGGGACTTAGTTTCGATTTTACTACGATTCCGTTTCTTTTCTTGTGTCATCACAGCCGACATTACAAAGATGTATCGGCAAATTTCAATGCATCCCTCTCAAACGCGCTTACAGAGAATTCTTTGGCGCAACGACTCTTCTATGAACGTCAATACCTATGAGCTCACTACCATCACCTACGGCACAGCTTCCGCGTCATTTCTAGCCACTAGGTGCCTTAAGCACTTGGCAGATCAGTACACTCATCAACTTCCGCGTGGTTCAGCATGCGTCCTCCGCGATTTTTATGTCGATGACATGCTCACTGGAGCAGACTCCATTGACGAATTAAAGCTAATCCGCGACGAAACCATTCAACTATTAAGAGCAGGGATGTTCGAGTTAAGCAAATGGGCTTCCAATTGCCCGGAGTTACTGGAAACAGATAAACGCGGCCGTGAGCCAGTCGCCATCTGGAGACACGGTAGTGTCTCGGCGCTAAGCCAAGCGCCGCGGCACTGCCGTGCCTCCTTTACGCGAAACTGAGAGTTTCGGGGGATTGAGATGATCAGATCTCAGTAACGGCTGAACGGCTCAAGTTCTATATACGCTCAATCGATAGCAATTGCTTAAATTGTATAATAAAAGTGCTTTCATTTGTTCTCTACGTGGCCTACGAGCGAAGATATCACGACTCAAAGTCCGAATCTGTAAATTTTCACGGTTTTTTTAAGATACGTCGTCGTCGTTATTATTAAGATTATTGTCATCATCATTGTCATCATCGTCGATCACATTCCATTCGATGTCCTTCTAACATTCCTGCCGCAAGAGGCAAATGTGGCGCTAGTCTATATCGCTCGATCGTCATGGGGCATGTGGACTGCGAGTGGAGCGGTGAGGTGAGAGGGGTGCAACTTTCGATTGATTTTCGAATATTCGTCCAGCTTTCGCAGTCCCTCTTACGCACCGCGCACAGTACAATGCCATTCGACCATCATGGAGTACTTGGACTGCACGCGGTGAGATGAGGTGAAGAGGGCGGGCAAATGCAACTTTCGGCTGATTTTCGAATAGCCTTCGTCTAGCCTTCGCTGTTCCCCTCACCTCACCGCTCCGCGCGCTGAACAATGCCATTCGACAGTCATGGGGCATTTCAACTGCACGCGGTGTGTTGAGGGGGACAGTGCAACTTTCGGCTGATTTTCGAATCGCCTTCGTCTAGCTTTCGCTGTCCCCCTCACCTCACCGCTCCGCGCGCAGAAGAATGCCATTCGATTGTCATGGAACATTTCGTTCGACTGCATGCGGAGCGGCGCGGGGGAGTGTGCAACTTTCGGTTGATTTTCGAATCATTTACGACTAGCTTTCGCTGTCCCCCTCACAACACCACACCGCGCATAATATATTACTACGAAGAGCAACCGTTTTACATTTATTTAATAATTTTGTTTTATATATGCGATTGTGTTAAC